TTTAATTTCTATTTTAGTTCTTTCTGAGACTTATGTTTTCATGGTGTGGGAATAAGACTTGGTGGTCTAATACAGCTAATATGTAGGTACCAGTATGTTGTCCCTGTTTTGAGAAAAAGAAAAAAAAAATGTATTTTAAAAAATATTTATTAAATTCATGTCCTCTAGGCTTGAAGGTTTATAAGAATTTGGTCAGAGGTGTCTCTCTTTTATCTGAGTACCATTTTATATAAGTAAATTAAGAATCTTAATTGATTACTGTAAAAATTTATTTGGTTGCTGGATTGCTGTCTAATCAACATGTTTTCAACATCTATTATATATATATAACCCATAACTATATAATAAATAGTGTGTGATCCGTTTAAACAATTTTTAATGATGAAGTATTTTATATTTAAGATAAGCATCACAGCTTGTCCGTAAGGATTGAAGCTAGGAATGGCCTTTGGAGCTGACTTTTATGGTAAGAACCAATTCAGAAATTTATTAACATTCATCCGTTTTTATTATACATAAGAAGATGTAGTATGAGTTCCAATGAGACAACTCTCCATCCAAATCAAAATGTATAAAAAGTAAACAATTATAGGTTAAAGTACAGCCTTCAATACGGAGCAACCCCCAAGGGTGACTCGGGAATAGAAGTATGGTCACCATTGGTCTTCCTCCAACCGGCAGTAAAACCCTTGCTAAAGTGGGGCGTCCGTTTGGCTGTGCGGGATGTACAAATTTGCAGCCACGTCTGGTCAGAATGGGGACATTAAATCTGATGCCTCGTGTAAAGAGAGTGCTACGCTCTTTGCACGTTAAGAACCCTTGCAACAACAATTTGAGGGGTCCGTAGGTGACCTGGTGCAAGGCTAAATTTCTGTCCCTATCCAAATACCCTCATTTCCCGTGGCAGTCTAAATTTCTCCGACCTTAATCCCGGAAGCCCCTATTACAGAACCTACCTATTGTATTTATTGTTAATTTGTTCTCGTCCTGAATATGCATGAAATATTTGCCACTGGACGTTAAGCAACCAACAATCAATCAATCAATCAATACGGAGCATTGGCTCACATCGAACAGCAAGCTATAAAGGGCCCCATAATTATGCATAGATATCTTACATTTTAATATTTTCTTCAGTTATAATTATATATATAATCTAGAGGGAGGTATCAAGATAAATAAGGGAGGTCAAAACTTATGATTAAGGAAATCTTAACTTGTTATTTAAAAATGGTGCCATATGAAAATAGATGTGGTATGATTGCCAATGAGACATTTATCAATCAAGAGACCAAATGATGTGGATGTAAGTTGCTAAAGGTCACTGGACATCCTTCAACAATGAACAAAACCTACACTGTATAGTAAGCTATAAAGACCCCAACATGACAAAATGTGAAACAATTAAATAAAATGAGAAAACTTTTACCTGATTAATGTTGAAACATTGTTGAAAATGTTGAAAATTCAAAATAAATTTGACAAACAGGAACCAACGACATTTTTTTATCCTTATTTGCTAATAAAAACTGGTACTATAAATTCAGAAATTATTGTGAGGTTTTTATTAATGCGAATAATGTGAATGGTCGAGTATCGCAATAATAAGAACTCACATTCTGATATCTGATATATATATCTGTATGTAGATTTTCCTGAAATTGCAATAATTAATCTCGCATTTTTGTCCATTCTTTAAAAATTGCAATAATAGATGCACGCAATAATTTCTGAATTTACAGTAGTAAAAAATATAGTAACAAGTCACTGATTATTCTTTTGCATTAAATATTGTTTCAGTTTTTATATTGTTTTAATTGACAGCTATGTTTAAGAATGCCTATTTCTTTTTCAGATAACTTTAACTGTGGCTGCATTAAATGGCTGTGTGATGTAATAGTACAGAATGTAATTCAGACAATTTTTGTGTATTTTTCAGGAATTGTTAATAATTTTTTACAAAAAAAAAAAAATTAATAAAAAAAATTGTAAAGATTCTCCATTTTCAACAAGATTGGAAGTTGTAGGTTAACTTGTATTTTTAATTTGATTTTTTTTCCATTTTAGCCCAATGGGTTATTCCGATAGCTCTGCTCATGTCCATTATTGTCTAACATTTTTTTTGTCATGGTTATTGATAATGAACTGGTTTTTTGACCTACTTTAGATGTATTGATTATGGTCAGTGTCTAGTCAAAACACTTCCAGTAGGTTAAGAATGGATAATCTAAAAAAAAAAAGAAAAAAAGAAAAAGAAAATAAAAGAAAGAAAGAAAAAAAAGTTATTTTATTGAACTGTATTTTTCCCGATTGTTAGATATATTTCTTGTAAAATTTTTGTTTTTTAATGGTGAGTTTGTAATGAAGCATAACAATTTTTAAGAATATTTTGCAAAAGCATAGTTGAAGAATATTTTTGTGAAAATACATTGATTGATTGATTTTTTTGTGCTTAACACCTCTTTACGTACAATTGGCCACCATGGCCCATAGGTGAATACTAAAGTAATAAATATGTTATTGAAATGTGTTGAACGTTGTTATTTAATTATTTTTTAATTTTAACTCTGCTATATTTTGTTTTTTTTGTTAAATATAGCAAGAATGTGGAGTCCTAACAGGGTGAAATATTGGGCAAAGGGAAGTAATATCCCTGTTTAACTCCTCATATTTTCGAAATTCCCTCAGTAATAGGGAGTTTAACTTCTTATATACTTTAATATTGATATTTGTATAAATTTTTTTTTAAATATCAGGTGCATACTTGCTAAAATATACTATTATTTAGAGCTCTGTAAAAGAAAAAAAAATGTAAATAGAAGTCTAAATAATAGATATGTAGGGTGGGAGAAATTATGGGTCACTACAAATCATTTGGTAAAATTTTCTAAAAAGCTGATTATTCAAAAATGCATCTTATATTTTTTTATATGTATAACTGTATTAAGAAAAACAAATGGACGAAAATATAGATTGATGATAATAAGATGAGGACAGCCACCATAGCAGCCAGGAGAACAGCTCTAAGGAAGATGGTCAATTAAATCTTCAACCAAGTCTTGAGGCTTTACCAAGAGAAATATGTGGTAAGTTTAGATATTTCACAAAATGTAAGGTAATAATCAGGGGCAGATCCAGGATTATTGAAAGAGGGGGGGGGGGGGGGGGGGGGGGGGGGGCTGTTATTCCATAAAACACATTATATACTGTTGTATAAATGGGGAAAAAATGGAAAATTTTATGCTGAAATATCATATAAATCTGAAAATGATTACTTTGGAGGGGCGATCAAAAGGGGCGTATGCCCTCTTCACCCCTGGATCCGCCACTAATAATTTTATTACGTATATATAGAAATTTAAACACAAAAAAATTCTTTAGGGTTCTTTTCTATCAATGTTTGACTTTAAGGATGTCTACGTCATTACCTGACACATTTTTGTCGAGCCTGCGACTTTTGTCGCAGAAAGCTCGACATAGGGGAAGTGATCCGGCGGCGGCGTAAGCTAACTTCTTAAAAGTTTTATATTTTAGAAGCTAGAAGACCTGGATGCTTCATACTTTGTATATAGATGCCTTATGTTACGAAGTTTCCGTCTGTCATATGTCCATTGTCCTTGACCTCATTTTCATGGTTCAGTGACTACTTAAAAAAAAAGTCAACATTTTTTGTAATGTTAATTTCTTTCTTGTTGTGAGTAATAGGATAACTATATTTAGTATGTGTGTACCTTGCAAGGTCCTCATGCCCGTCAGACAATTTTCATTGATCAGTGAACAAGGTTAAGTTTTCGTGGTCAAGTCCATATATCAGATACTATAAGCAGTAGGTCTACTATATTTGGTATATGGAATGATTGTAAGGTGTACATGTCCAACTGGTAGGTGTCATCTGACCTTGACCTCATTTTCGTGGTTCAGTGGTTCAGTGGTCAAAGTTAAGTTTTTGAGTTTTGGTCTTTTTTTCTAATACTATAGGCAATAGGTCAACTATATTTGGTGTATGGAAATATTTTATGATGTACTTGTCAGTCTCGCAGGTTTTATTTGACCTTGACTTCATTTTCACGGTTCATTTCTCAGTGTTAAGTTTTTGTGTTTTGGTCTGTTTTTCTTCAACTATAAGCAATAGATCAACTATATTTGTTGTATGGAAGGATTGTAAGGTGTATATGTCTGTCTGGCAGGTATTATCTGACCTTGACCTCATTTTCATTGTTCATTGGTCAATGTTAAGTTTTCATGGTTAAGTTTGTTTCTTAGATACTATAAGCAATAGGTCAACTATATTTAATGCATACATTGATTGTAAGGTGTTAATGTCTGTCTGGCATGGTTCATCTGACCTTGACCTCATTTTCATGGTTCATTGGTCAATGTTAAGTTTTCTTGGATAAGACTGTTTCTTAGAAACTATAAGCAATAGGTCAACTATGTTTGGTTTATTGAATGATTGTAAGGTGTACATGTATTTCTCATTTGGTTTATCTGACCTTGACCTCATTTTCTTGGATCATGTTAAGTTTATGTGTTACTTGTAGTAAAGCTTATCAACATAAAATCAATGGTTAGTAAATAAGGCGAGACATTTCAGCGTGTGCACTCTTGTTGTTTTGAAACATTACAACCATAATCATTTTTATTACAGTACTTGTATTCATTTGTTATCTACCTTTGGTATCAAGTTTACACATTGAGGATGATAGTACTGTGGATTTATTTTTGTGGGTAAAAATTTTCATGGATTAAGGAAAAACTACTTTCATAGATATTTGATTTCAAGATTTTGCCAAAGTCTATAGAAAATTTGTACTTTGTGAAACATTTGAATTAGTGGGTCACCTATACCCACGAAATCCCATAAATAATGAATCCACAGTATACAACAATTTTGTAAAAAAAATGCAACACAGCATGATTTTTTTAGTCTTCTTAGGCATAGGTTGATCTGTAAATCAAGTATATTTTCTTATTTATTTTTATTTTAGGTTGTAATAATGTTCATGGTGTTGGGAGTAAGACTTGGATATCTGATACTGTTAACATATTGGTAGGTATTCAAGGTTTTTGTGCCCCAGCCCCTAGTCAAAGGGGATATTTAGTGTTACCCTTGACTGTCCTTCCATTTGTCAGTCCCATTTTCGTTTCCGCACTCTTATCGAGTTTTTCTCATCCAAATTTTATAAAACTTGTACACAATGCTAAAAACCAAAACTTGCAGACAGTTTGAATTTGGGTAGTGAGTCGCTTACTGTTCTAGAGTTATGCCCCTTTATAACTTGGAAAATTGCAAATTGTTTCGTATCAGCACTAGCAGAGACATCAAATGCACACAAAAAGTATTTTCACGTATTATAAGCTTGCTTGAGAGGGGCCATTCGTGTCCTCTGAATAATTTTATAGTATTTAACATCAATTTTATACAGGTTTTAAGTACCAAAAAGTAAATTATACACTTTGATGAAATACAGGTTGATTTTTTTCCATTGCAAATTTTAAACCATGAGTTTATCATTCAGAATACCAAATTTTATTTTACTTGAATTTTTTCTTGTTATCCTAGTACTATTTTAAATTTATTATGATGATCTTTTGTTGTTGAAAAGTTTATAATAAATGACCAACTTTTTATTCCAGGTTAGCATCACACGTTTCCATAGGGGTAGTAATCCGAGCTGTTTTAAGGTGAGAATTTTTTCATCAACCTAAAATTTAATTATGTCATTTTATTGTGAATGCCCCTAGATATCTATATATCTGTCCTAAATATATTTTCAATATAAAACATTGTACCTTTACTTCAGAAGGACATGTAGATATCTTATTTGATAAATGTTGTAAATGAGATATTCAGGGGAGATAACTTAACATTTTATTGTAAGGATAAACCCATTGTTGTTATAAAAAAGATAACAGCTTTTCTTTCAGTCTTGCATTTTTTCATTATAAATTAAATTCCTACATTTCATCATATAGAAAACCATTTTCTGATTGAGTCAATAAAACAACAACCAATCAACAAAAATTTTATGTTTCATTATACGAGTATGAAGAAGCTTCTGATTGTCGAGCCTTCGACTCTTGTCGAAAAAGCGAGACATAGCGATCCTACATTCCGTCGGCGGCGGCGTCCACAAATATTCACTCTGTGCATGGTTAAATTTTTTGAAATTTTAATAACTTTCTTAAACTATCCTGGATTTCTACCAAACTTGGAAAGAAGCTTGTTTATGATCATAAAATAGTATCCAGAAGTAAATTGTGTAAAAAAAAAATTCCATTTTTTCCGTCTTTTACTTATAAATGAACTTAGTTTTTCTTCCAGTTAACATTACATACAGTCTGCAGTTAAAGTTTTTAAAACATTTATTTGATTCATAAACTATTCTGGATTTTTACCAAACTTGGACAGAAGCTACTTACAATCAAAAGATAGTATAGAGAGGAATATTTTTATTAATTTTTTTCCTCATTTTTGTTGATCCTGCGATCAACAGCAAAAGTAGGCGAGACACTGGGTTCCGCTGAACCCTTACGAATTTTTTTGTTCAATATTCAAAAGATTGTTCATTCACAGAGGTAAAATTAGGGAGCAGGGTACCCATCCACATCATGGAGCAATATTTATGGTTAATGCATAAAATTTTAACATGTCCCTCTCCAAAGGTTGCTTAGTTTTGTTTAATCAAAAATTGCTACATTTTTTTTTTTACCCTCAAAGATTATTTTAATATTAAGTATTAACAGTTGAAATATAACTTTATTTCTTTTTCAGTTGAAAGTATTACTGTTGCTGGCTTGTATGGTAAAATCTTCAGACAATAATGCTGCGAACCATCGGATGAACTGTTGCTATATTTTTAGTAGAATCCATAGACAGTTGTATTGTAAGCAGAAGAATGAATTGCTGACAAATTTTGTTTTTATTGCTGTGTATTAAGTTATAAATTTTTTTTTTCATTATTTTTACTTGCATTCAATTATTGTATTGTGATTGATGAAAAATAAAACTGTGAAATTATTCTTATTTGAGGGGTCCAAAGGTATGCCATATGGTTTCACAAAGTACCCATACAACTTACATTAGTTTACATATATTTTTAAAGTTATTTATGTGTAAGTCTTACAAGTGCTTTGTGAAATGAATTTTGCTAGTCAGAAACCAATAAAGTAGAACTTTGATGGCCAAACATTAAAGGGAAAATTAAAAAATCTGCTGTTAAATTAAGTACTGAGTATTTGATGCAATATATAAAATGAAAATTAATGGCTTTCAGTTTTATTTATTGGTATTGTTTATATACATGTATTATAAATACATTATTTAGACTTTAGGCCACTCAAGTAAAAGTAATTACAGTTTTTGGGTTTTTTTTTTTCATTTTTATGTGATTGATTTATATGTTGTTTTTTTTTTGTGTTCATTGTAATTTATATTTTAAGGTTGATTTTTTGAGGATTGTGCTCAACTTCTTAAGAATTAATTACCTCACCCAAGATTAATCAGGAACCTATATTAAAAGTAATTTTTTCTTTGATTTTGATGGTAAAATGGCTGTTTAATGTCCAGTGTCAAATTAAATGCATTTACATGTCATGTGATATGAATATAGACCCTGCTTTGTACTTTACTATCACACTGACTTTTATATTTTAATGTGCTAGTTCACAGGGTAAAAGTCTGCAGAAAGAGGCAACACCACCAGACACATTATTCTGACTCTGAGCTGACCAGTCTATGTTCTTACTACTAAATGCTGCATGCTTAGCAGAGAAGCAGCTAATACCAATTTTCTAGTCTTTGGTTTGACCCAGCTGCGGATCAATTTCCCATGACCTTCTGCACTCGAGGCGAGCATGAAATGGTCAGTTAAAGAAGATTTATCTGTCTGCCTGTCCATCATCATCTCTCATCCACAGCTTATATACTATTGGAAGGTGTTCTTTAAAACTTTCAGATTGTCTTCTGTAACTGATGGCAGTGTGTATTTTATTTTTTTATCATAATAGAATTTAGGGGTTCCTAAAAAATGAATGGACCTTCTAAATATTTTGATTAACTTGGGAAGAAATCTTTTCGTTCAAAAAGTTAATCATGTGAAGGATAGGATGGTTTGAATATTTTATATTGTGTTTTTAATCTTGTTTTTAATAGTTGGATCTCATTATGACAAATTTTCATAACATTAAAAAGAATTTAGAATAAATTTTGCATTAAGACACTAATATATTACCACTGTAGCTTTTAATTAAAACTTTATAAGGTTTTGCTATAACAAGATTTGTGTTTTATTTGGTTTTATATTGTTTTAGTGGATTTTATGTGATTTTACTTGTTTCTATTGTCAAATCTTGTTACACCAAGCCTTTACATGATTTAGTTTGTGAGGAAAATTAATAAATTTTGCTGATAGATGCAATACAAAATATCAATTTACGTAATGAGATCTGACATTTTTATGCTTTTAACTCTTCCTGAAGGATAGAATAGAAAATAAATGAATTTAAATGTTGATGCAGTCCTTGAAGATTGACCAATGAAATTGCAAGCTTCATAGATGTTAGTTCAGAATATGCTGTAACTAAATCTATGATCATAATAGCTATAAACCATCCTATCCATAATTATTCAAGATGTGTAACAAGATGTAAGAAATGAAAAAATCCATTCTTCTATTAGAGAACCATAGATTTAGAAGTGAATAAAAATGGTACACAATGTCGACAGATACTAAAGATCATTTGAAAGTCTAGGAAAAGTCCATTTAATTCTTTAATTGTGGTTTGAAGTTGCAGATGGATGAGCAAACAGATGATAAACTTGTACGACATTTCCTAATGGATAAATCAGACAATGAAATAATAGCTTGGCACTAGTTATCCCCATACTTGGAAAAAGTACTTGTTTCCTTAAATGAAAATATATATCAGTATATATATATATATATATCCTACTTCAATATAGAAATTAAATAAGTTTGCTAAAAAATAGGCTGGAAAATGAAAAAAAAAATGAAAAAATAAAACAGCTTAGGGTTAAATATGAGGAATTAAATGGTTATTTTTTTTCCAAGGTGATCTAATTTGTGGACTGATCAAGATTTTAAGTTTGTCTTAATTACCCAGTAAATTAGTTGAGTACACCTTAAAAATAAATTTATTTCATGTATTTTTCAACCTTTTTTAATTGTAGTTTATACCATAGTTTTCCTTTGTATTAGAGATGTTATATTTTTAAGTCTTTTTAAAAAGTATGAGACAAACTGAGGATTCATCAATTTTGTAAAATCTATATAAAAAAATTTATATGTTTGAAATTAAGTAATGGGAAGACTCACATTTTTATATCAAGCAAAAAAAGTCATTTTGATAGAAACTTATACAAAACTTAATAACTGTATCTCAAACCAGACATCTTTTTTTCTATAACAACCAATCTGAGAAATTGGTCAGATAGAATCCTCAGTACTGTCATTTATTTGTATAATTGTAATATTTACCTAACCTATGATTCAGATGCTTTTCCTCCTTTTAATTATACTGTTAATTTTTAAATGGCAGTGGCGGATCCTGGGAGGGGGGAGGAGATTGTAGAAGGCATATGCTCCCTTTTGTTTGCACAAAAAATCTCATGTTTCTCGCTGTTTATATGATTTTTTAGCATAAAATTGTCCCAAAATTTTTTTCACCTAGCTGTGCTTGGTGAATTATATACAGTTTTACAAAATTTCAACCTCTTTTTGAAAAATCCTGGATCTGCAACTGATTGTGGCCAAAAGCTTAATAGTTACAATTTCTTTGATATTTATGCACACCTGATGAGGAGATTGTGTCTTGTTTCATTTGGGTATTTTGTATCATGATGCATTTTAATGAAATTAATTGGTAAATAAAATTTATTTGAGAAAACCCTTCTTACATCTTATTTGAGTCTGTATGACAAATGAAGGGGGAAGAGGTTTCTGTGGTCATGGGTATGACAGATAATTTATATTCCCATCACTTGGTGTCTTATCATTATCATTCTTTAAATTGTTTGAAATTTTCATGAAACTTCTTGGCTATTTTAAACCAGACTTTACACAAATGATACTTTTGGCATTACTTTACAGCATTATTCATTGGACTTGCGGATAACCTGATTGGCTGGAAATTCTTTTAATAGATCAAGAATGCTTTTAAAAATGATCTAATTTATTGACTTTTCTGTCACATGCAAAACATAGGGATACTGATCTATCCAGACGGTGGAAGAGCTGGGTAATCCATATTTGGTATGCAGATGCCTTATGGTCTGATTTTAGTCTCACCTTGACGAAGTTAAAAAAAGCGAGACATCAGTATGCTATTTCCTGCGTTCAGCAGCGTCAACAATGTATTAGCTTGTGATTAGGTCAGTTTTATGGGGAACTACTAGTGCTAGGTCAATGATATTTGGTATGCAGTTGTATAAGCATTGGCACATCTCATTTCCATGGAGATTGTTTGGTCCTGTACCATCAGTCATGGTTCATTGAAATTATTGCTATTGGCATTTTATAATCAAAATAACAAAAAGGCGAGACATATCTGTGTTAACAATTTATTTTATCTTGCATATGACCATTGCCTTGATTCCATTTTTAATGTTCAATAACCACTTATAAAGTTTATAGTGTTTTTACATGACTTGGACAGTTTTTATGTGTATTAAGGACCACTACATTTGGTATATAGATTGATTGCAAGGTATACTTGTCCTTCTGATGCAGATCCAGGATTTTGAAAAAGATGCGGCCTCCAAACTAGGCAGTGTTAGTAGTGGAACATATAAAAAGTATAATGTAATATGCACTTACCATATATATAGCTCCATTAGGGGACCTGGGCCAATGGTCCACCTCCTAAATCTGCCTCTGGTGGCATCAATTCATGATTCAGTGATTTATGTTTAGTTTTGGGATAAGGTATAAGTTTTTCCCAGGCTTATTCATTAAGTAATTTCTCAACTATATATTCCATGGATAAAATGATTGTAAGGTGAACATGTCTATCTGACCATGACCTTATTTTCATGGAATTTTTTGTCAACATTTAGTTTTTGTGACCCAGTAATATGAATAATAGGTCAACTTTATTTGGTGTACAGAATGATTGTAAGGTGAATATGTTTTTCTGATGAAGTAGACCTGACCTTAATTTGAGTGTATAGAATGATTGTAATTGTGCATTTCCATCTTACAGGGTTTATTTGAAATTAGCATTATTTTCATAGATCATTGATAATGTTTTTTTTTCTGAAATACCTGTATTAAAACCTTGGTCTTAAGGCAGCTGGGGTGTCTAAATGTTGAAGATAATTATATTTTTCTTCTGTAAAAGACTTCTGGGTGAATTTACTTTCCAATTTCAATATAAAAACTGGGGGTCACATCCTTATTTTTTTCGTTAAAATACATTGAAATTAACAAAATCACTTATTTAATATTGGTTGTATTTGGGAATTATATTATTTTCCTTATTGAATTATCAAATAAAAATAGGAGTCACAGGCCTTATTTTCTTGAAATATCCAAAAAACACAAATTGTCCAATCAAATTCAAAATTATTATCTGCCCTTGATTTTAAAAAGATTTTTTTCTGAAAAATTTAAATACACTTAACGAAACTTAATTTTTTAATAGTTTAATCTTTCAATTTCAGATTTAGGTGTTTCTGTTGTATACTGAATGATATTTGGTAAAATATTTTCAAACAAAAAAGTAATTTTGCAACTTGCCCAGAAAGGATGTTCAGAAAAAAGACACCCAATCTATCTACCTTAAACTGTTGAAGACTTTAACATAAAATTCAATCATCATCAGTTACACAGTCAGGACAATTCACTCCCGTTAAAGGCAATTGGGACATTTTTTGTCACATATTTCCTTCCTGAACACCTTTTAAACTTTCTTCAAAG